CCTTGGACACGTGACGCATAGATATATGTATTTGCAATGTATATAATTATTTGTCTACTAAATCAAATTGTGATTCATTTGAAGGACTTGAAGTAGATGAGGGTAGAAATAGCCTAAGCTGCTCTATCCTTTCATGATGTATTTTATTATCTCAAAAAACTTACTTGAACTTGAACCATATATGTAGTTTCCGTTGTCGGAGCGTAGATGCCTGTGTACATATATACTTTAAGCTTGAATCGGGGTCCTCCCAACGTTGAACTACTGAGCCTGAACCCAGGATGCAACCCCACAGCAGTTGCCTAATTCCCGGCCGGCTACCTATTTAATCGCTGATAGGTGAACAGCAGCAATGCAATAGGTTCATTATGTGAAAAGAAAACGCGGCTAAGTAAATTTCCTTCGCCTGGGACACGAACCCGGGAATCCTTGACTGTGAGTCGAGACCGTAGCTACCTATGTTTCGAGACCTTATTGTGCATTTAATAATTAATACATTAAAAATTTATTTATAAATAAATTAAAGCAATAAAGGAAAGAGGGAAGGGGATTGCAAAGAGTCAAATCACACGCTGAAAAAGAGCATACTGACATGAATAAAAATTAACATATAGTACGGATGTGCCGACTTTCAATTAACATATACATCGACCTCAAATGTTAACTAGATAAATATATATGTTTATTGACTGGGCGCCAATCCTATTGTCCGAAACGCTATGCGTGCTAGTGGCTGTACAAGAATGTAAGAAATCTTGTATATATATAAATAAATAAAACAAATAAATGAACATCAATATATTTTTTATATGAGGATAAAGCCAAGTCCTGGATCATATACTTGTGCTATGTGGGATTTATATTTTCTGTTAGGTGAATAGAGGCTTTAGGTTCAAGGAACATATTCAAACGTTTTATCCTTCGGCTTCTCCAAGTTGGTCCTATCTACAGTAATGTGTTGTTCATTGCATTAAGTAATTCTAAAATAAAATATTAAGTATCCCCATTTTCATAAACCATTTTCTTTAGAATGGCCACAGAAAACGTTTGATGGTAAACCAATCTAAATATAAACTTTCTAATTTGGTATTATTTCAACTTAGTTTATATTCCTAATTGATTAAGTTTATATGTAAGAATTTCAAGACTTAATGTTGTATCGGTATATAGCATTTATAATATATATGTTATTACTAGTTATTTACAATTGCAAGTTTGTAGGGCAAATTTAGAAGTCACAAACCATATCTTGGCATTAAATATTATCATAATTTATTAGAGTTTAAATATATAACGAAGATATATACAAAAGTACAAAAACAATTAGAATTTATTTTTAAAGTTACTTAAGACAATTTAATAAAAATGCATGAACAAATTTATAATTTGTTTAAAGTTCACATAAAATTTCATGACCTTCTGCAATAAAAAACTTACGTTTATAGTTCCTTAAGGCTTGATTGAAAATAGTGCTTTGAGGTTTATGAAAAAACCTTTCTAAATTTTTGCCGGATGACACATCCATAATATAAACATCAACAGCTGAGATATCGTATAAGAAGTGTAAAAGTCCCCTTGGGTATTAGTTTAGATTTGCTAGTGAGCAGTTCCCAGTCATCCTGTTGGTGATTCGAAGGTTACTCCCATTATGGTCTGTGGTTACTGAGTGACATCATCTTTCAACTGAGCAATATCCTTTTGTGGGAAAACTAATTGCATACAGCTTTCTGCCTCATAATGACTTGCAAAAACTGCAACTGATCTCAGAATATATATATATATATATATATATATATATATATATATATATATATATATATATATATATATATATATATATATACAAGAGTTGTTACATTCTTGTACAGCCACTAGTACGCGTAGCGTTTCGGGCAAGTCCTTAATCCTATGGTCCCTGGAATACGATCCCCGCCGCGAAGAATCGTTTTTTCGCGGCAGGTACACATTTTACTGTTGCGTTAAACAGAGGCTACAGTTAAGGAATTGCGCCCAGTAAATCCTCCCCGGCCAGGATACGAACCCATGACAGCGCTCGCGGAACGCCAGGCGAGTGTCTTACCACTGCACCACGGAGTTCTCGCTGTCACAGCCACTCCGACGGCAGCAGTAGACTGGCGTAAGGAACCATTAGTGGGAAAGGTTCAGGAGAAGGCACTCTCTGTGGCCAGAGTGGATCTGGCTTAAGGCATTGTACTTTGCCTCAAGCCGAAGCACGAGTTGCTCGTTTATTCTTCATCTTGGGAGTGAAAATAGGGATAGTTACTTGGAAAATTCCATTTCTTGGAAGATTTCCATCCCGCGCGCGGTGGTGGAAAGGGTTATAGAGGCACATGAGCTTGTAAGAGGGATGGAGGTTCTTCTATGATGCTCGGAATTGCCATTATCTCTCTTGGTAGGGCTTATAAACCTCATATACATTGTGGTTGTCTCCGTGGTGTAGTGGTAAGACACTCGCCTGGCGTTCCGCGAGCGCTATGTCATGGGTTCGTATCCTGGCCGGGGAGGATTTACTGGGCGCAATTCCTTAACTGTAGCCTCTGTTTAACGCAACAGTAAAATGTGTACTTGGATGAAAAAACGATTCTTCGCGGCGGGGATCGTATTCCAGGGACCTGCCCGAAACGCTACGTGTACTAGTGGCTCTACAAGAATGTAACAACTCTTGTATATATCTCAAAAAAAAAAAAACTCTGCTCCGAGCAGGTGTACATAACTGGCTCTATCATAACACGCATACGCGCACACATGATCTTGTTTCCTGTTTCTGATATACGTAAATGATCTCCCAGAGGGTATAGACTCATTCCTCTCAATGTTTGCTGACGACGCCAAAATTATGAGAAAGATTAAGACAGAGGAGGACAGCTTGAGGCTTCAAGAAGACCTGGACAAGCTGCAGGAATGGTCGAACAAATGGTTGTTAGAGTTTAACCCAAGCATATGTAATGTAATGAAGATAGGGGTAGGAAGCAGGAGACCAGATACAAGGTATCGTTTGGGAGATGAAATACTTCAAGAGTCAGAGAGAGAGAGAAAAAGACCTGGGGGTTGATATCACGCCAGACCTGTCCCCTGAAGCTCATATCAGGAGGATAACATCAGCGGCATATGCCAGGTTGATAACATAAGAACGGCTTTTAGAAACTTGTGTAAGGAATCTTTCAGAACATTATATACCACATATGTCAGACCAATCCTGGAGTATGCGGCTCCAGTATGGAGTTCATATCTAGTCAAGCATAAGACTAGACTGGAAAAGGTTCAAAGGTTTGCCACCAGACTAGTACCCGAGTTGAGAGGCATGAACTACGAGGAGAGACTACGGGAATTAAACCTCACTTCGCTGGAAGACAGAAGAGTTAGGGGGGACATGATCACCACATTCAAGATTCTCAAGGGAATCGACAGGATAGATAAAGACAGGCTGTTTAACACAAGGGGCACACGCACTAGGGGACACAGGTGGAAACTGAGTGCCCAAATGAGCCACAGAGATATTAGAAAGAACTTTTTTAGTGTCAGAGTGGTTGACAAATGGAATGCATTAGGCAGTGATGTGGTGGAGGCTGACTCCATACACAGTTTCAAGTATAGATATGATAGAGCCCAATAGGCTCAGGAACCTGTTGATTGACGGTTGAGAGGCGGGACCAAAGAGCTAAAGCTCAACCCCTGCAAGCACAACTAGGTGAGTTGTGACAATTAGTGATAGACACACACACAAACACACACACACGTACAGGGGCCTGTGGCTGAGTGGACAATGCTCTGGGCTCGTAATTCTAGGGGTCCGGGTTCGATCCCCGGCGATGGTGGAAACAAATCGGCAGAGTTTCTTTCGCCCCCTGATGCCCCTGTTGCCTAGCAGTATATAGGTACCTGGGAGTTAGACAGCTGTTACGGGCTGCTTCCTGGGTGTGTGTGTGTGTGTGTACTCACTTAATTGTACTCACCTAATTGTGCTTGCGGGGGTTGAACTCAAGCTCTTTGGTCCCGCCTCTCAACTGTCAAATCAACTGGTGTACAGGTTCCTGAGCCTACTGGGCTCTATCATATCTACACTTAAAGCTGTGTATGGAGTCAGCCTCCACCACATCACTGCCTAATGCATTCCATTTGTCTACTACTCTGACACTGGACACTGTGTGTGTGTGTGTGTGTGTGTGTGTGTGTGTGTGTGTGTGTGTGTGTGTGTGTGTGTGTGTGTGTGTGTGTGTGTGTGTGTGTGTGTGTGTGTGTGTGTGTGCATGTGTGTGTGTGTGTGTGTGTGTGTGTGTGTGTGTGTGTGTGTGTGTGTGTGTGTGTGTGTGTGTGTGTGTGTGTGTGTGTGTGGTGTGTGTGTGTGTGTGTGTGTGTGTGTGTGTATGTGTGTGTGTCAAAAAAATCAGTTGATTGATTGACAGTTGAGAGGCGGGCCGAAAGAGCAGAGCTCAATCCCGGTGAATACAACTAGGTGAATACCAGCTTGCTCCCATGACACATCCCATGATACATCCCATGACACATCCCATGACCCCATGACACATCCGTGTACCCCTGCCCACCTGCGTGGGCAGGTGACTGCTTAAATATTCACTCTGGGGACTTTCCCAGTGGAAACACCCAGAAAGTAAGGGGGTTAAAGAGTATACGAGATGTTGGGGAGAGGGGAGTGAGGAGGAGGAGGGGGGGGGTGGGGATGTTGAGGAGGGGGTGGAAGTGGAGGAGAGAGGAAGAAATCTCCGAGACAGGATTCCACAGGGCTTCCCAACGAGGCATGCACACCACCACCATTCTTGAATTCTATCGCTGTCAGGTATTCTAATATATTTATTCTCGAGTGGTTTAACTGCTCGTTGATGTTCAGGCGAGGAATCCAAATAATTGATGACCGCGAGGTACAATATCACGTCGTATCTGACGCCGCCACGATAAGACGTTTATTGACGTCTTGGCATTTGGGCGAAGAAAGCCGGGTAACATTAATTAACGCAGTCAACACCGGAGCTCACACGATACCTTGACACCGGCGGAGTCACACCTTCCTCCGTAAGATGCACCAGTCTGTGTTAGTGTGTGTGTTGGTGGTGGCAGCACTGACGGCACCGTTCCTCCCAAGGTGCCAGGCCCAGTTGGACATCCTGGCACCATTACTGGGCGACCAAGTTAAAGGGTAAGCAAATTAAATTCTCTCTCCTGGTATTTTGCGGGTGGTTATCTTGAGTTATCTTGAGTTATCTTGAGATGATTTCGGGGCTTTTTAGTGTCCCCGCGGCTCGGTCCTCGACCAGGCCTCCACCCCCAGGAAGCAGCCCGTGACAGCTGACTAACACCCAGGTACCTATTTTACTGCTAGGTAACAGGGGCACAGGGTGAAAGAAACTCTGCCCAATGTTTCTCGCCGGCGCCTGGGATCGAACCCAGGACCACAGGATCACAAGTCTAGCGTGCTGTCCGCTCGGCCGACCGGCTCCCTATAGCTATCTATCTAGCTATATAGGGTGATATAGCTATCTGAACTTTGCATGGCGGGGTTAGCAGGGCATCCATCAGGCTGCATGGCTGCATCCGGCTTCAAACTAGCAATCGTATATATGTTGACCAGATTACACACTAGAAGGTGAAGGGACGACGACGTTTCGGTCCGTCCTGGACCATTCTCAAGTCGATTGTGTGACTTGAGAATGGTCCAGGACGGACCGAAACGTCGTCGTCGTTCCTTCACCTTCTAGTGTGTGGTCTGGTCAACATTCTTCAGCCACGTTATTGTGATTCATCGCCTGCAATCGTATATTTGTTCTATAAATAGTATTTGCTCAAATATGAATAACTGCTATTAATATTTAAGCACCTGTTCTAGGTCCTTTCCTGAGCGAATATTATGCTTAACAATCACGGTATTGTTAACAGGTTGTTCCGACAAGGAGAAGCGGTGCTGTTAGACCACTACTGTAACTACTCCGTGAAACCCAAGTTCAGGAAGTGGGAGCTTTACTATGACGGTAGTTTTTGGTGCCCGGGCTGGACCAACATCAAGGGTGAAGGTGGGTTACAGTTCTTGCTGTATTACACTACACATGTTGACCAAACCACACACTAGAAAGTGAAGGGACGACGACGTTTTGGTCCGTCCTGGACCATTCTCAAGTCGATTGTACACATCGCCGCATTCGACTTGAGAATGGTCCGGGACGGACCGAAACGTCGTCGTCCCTTCAGCTTCTAGTGTGTGGTCTGGTCAACATATTTCTGCCACGTTATTGTGACTCCTCTGTTGTTAAAGATTCGCTACCTGGAACAAAAAAATCCAAGTAGCACGGGCTATGGTGAGCCCGTACCTTTGTGACTCCTCGTCTGCACTATACACATCGCCAGCTGAACCACCTGGCGCAGTCCAACTGTCCCTCGTCATGCGCCATTGTATCTTCTTTTATCTTTGCTTTTAGCTATAAATAATAAATAAATAAATGTTTATTTAGGTAAGGTACATACATACAAAAGATTTTACAAAGTTTGTTGGATTAATAGACAGAGCTAGTACATACAATGCCTAAAGCCACTATTACGCAAAGCGTTTCGGGCTGGTCATTTTCTCATTTCTGGTCATCAGCTCATTTCATTACTCTGCTTCTACAATACTTCCCATATAAATGGCCCACTGCTAAACATCAAATGCTGTCAAAGTTTCATTCTGTTCCTTCAAGAAAATACTTAATGGTATCACCACCTGCTAGCATTTCGTGTAATTATTGACCAGCTTACATTAAAAATCGCACAAAATATTCCTTAAAGTAATATATTTTTACATCAGGAAATCACACATACATAAGTATTTAAAAAAAATCCACAAGGGCCGTGACGAAGATTCGAACCTACGTTCGAATTCAGTGGAATTTTTGGTTGCAATTCTTATACCATGTCGTAGCTCAGTCCATTAAGGCAGCTTCTAGGATGCTCTCGGACGTAGGTTCGAATCCTCGTCACGGCCCTTGTGGATTTGTTCATTTCATACATCACACTATTGTGATTTGTGTGTGTGTATATTACTTTGTTTCATGTAATAAAATATTTGTATTCCCTTACAGCGCTCACCCGCAGTCAAAGCTCTGTAGTGAACAAGGCTACTGAGGACTTCATCAAGAAGGCCCAAGCGAAGGGGCTCATTTCGGATGAGGAAGCCAAGAGCTGGTTTGGAGCTAACTAAATCATCCTTCCGTGTCCTTTACCTCCGAGGTTTCGCACTTCGGCAGTCATTTATGGATTCCTAACTACAGTCGGTGATTACCTGCTGGCAAGATAACAGATAATGGAGCGGTTGATATCTCGACAGCCCGTTTTCTCGAAGTGCCACAAAAAAAAATATAAAATGAGGGGTAACTAAAACAAATGAACACAAGCCACCCCCTTCCCCCTGATCCAACCAATGTGTGTGTAGAAAAAGCGTGGACTTATATGTAAGCCGCTACTTTGTATAGTACCCTTTATTTTGTACGTTGTAGACCAAAATGAGGTGCATAAGTTGGGAGGACAGGTTTATCATTTTTCTGCCCATTCATAAACCAAATGTATTCTATACAGGGGCCGTCTATAAAAAAAAAACTCATGTAAATTTTGTATAAATAATTTTGATAAATTTATAAGTACATTTTATAAATTAATAAATACTGTTTACAAATTTATAAATACATTTTATAAATTTATAAATATCATTTTACCTTAAACTAATAAATTACTCCATTAAATCATACACAAAACAATACTATTCTATATTAACATAAAGTACATAGGCGTAGGTTAGGGAATTAGTTTCCATTGAAAATTACTTGGGTGAAGCATTTTTTTTTTTAAACAGCGTTTTTTCCGTATAAAGTGAGCAGAACACTTAAAGAACCAATCTCGATATAATATGAATAATCTCGATCGATGTGGATATATATTATGCCCTAATACCTATCCATGAGCGTCGGTGGATAAAGCTACAGAGACACATAATAGGCTCAATGACAACACTATCTCTTTTACCCCCATGTAACGCTGTCAAACTACTGATGACTTCAAACTGACTGGTTTTTTTTAATTAAGTTACCCCTAAAGACGTTTCAGAAATGTTTTATAGAAGACGACAGATTTTCTTGCTTTGTCGAGCGAGCTTTGGCGAATATACTAAATATTAGTCGTATATTTATAATTGAATATTATTTTACTTTGCCTTTCCTGTGATATATATATAATGTTTTATTCTTGTATCTGTGCACTCATGTGACAAGATTGAATCAAATAAATAATTTAAAAATTGGTAATTTTTGTTTTGTTGAGTTTACGAATACTCTACATAATTTAAGATATCCGCCGAGAGTTGTATTCTGCTTTTCAGTGTGAATACACGGAGTATACTTTAGCACTGGACTATGTTCGGGGCTGAAGTGTGCTTTCTGGCTGGTTATTAAGGTATTCTGGTAGCTTAATAACCCTCCAGAGGTTGATGGGGGTATTAAGTCCAAAACTAAACCAACCCATCGCACCGAGTGTATGACACTTGCATGTAATGTGTTCCGGTGTATGACGGATGTAATATGTATATGTGTCCCACAACTCCACAATATACGTGTACACCCCCTTCACTACCGTTGTCCCTCTTTAACCTGTTAAAAACAAACTTCACTACAACCAAACAATGCCCTGAAAAGTCACGCTGAGCAGTACAGCAAGAACTAACCTTATCATGTAACTTACGCACATATACTCTATCAAGCCTAGAACCATAATTGTGTCGAACACGCACGTATTCGAGGATACTACCGTTCAGGGCTAGTCGCATCCAGAGAGAGCAGCTGTACATTAGGATAAGGAATAATTGTATCAAGAAACGAAACTCTCGGACTCAAAATCATGATCATTTATCTTGATATTAATAAAGACCTTAATGAGAGTCCTTTTAGCAAGCAAAGTTATCGTGTTCTCAAGAAAGTCGCAGGTTTCAAGAGGAATTCAAGGTAATCCTGAAGTAGTATATATATATATATAGAGAGAGAGAGAGAGAGAGAGAGAGAGAGAGAGAGAGAGAGAGAGAGAGAGAGAGAGAGAGAGAGAGAGAGAGAGAGAGAGAGAGAGAGAGAGAGAGGAGAGGAGAGAGAGAGAGAGAGAGAGAGAGAGAGAGAGAGAGAGAGAGAGAGAGAGAGAGAGAGAGAGAGAGAGAGAGAGAGAGAGAGAGAGAGAGAGAGAGAGAGAGAGAGAGAGAGAGAGAGAGAGAGAGAGAGAGAGAGGAGAGGAGAGAGAGAGAGAGAGAGAGAGAGAGAGAGAGAGAGAGAGAGAGAGAGACACTGACTCACTTTACTTTCGTCCTTGTATTCCGGACGAAAGTATTCTTGCTGGTGAGTCAGTAAGGTGTTGTTGTGGTCTTAATAACCCTCCAGCGGCTGATAGTCGTTAAACTCCAACACCAAACTTGTAGCACATCAAGTCTCTTAACATTTTGTACATCTTGTTCCCGATTTATGATATTTAACCAAAGAGGACATTCGCAACTATTTGTTTAGACAATTGAGACCATTACTGTCGAGAGTTGCACAAGTCAAATGAATGGACATTCCGAATGTAAAATTTAGTAGGAAGAAGTTACACTTGATCCATTATAACATTCGTCAGTAACGGATCTGTTGCCTGACGTCCGCTGAGGTCTGATCCCAGCCCGCCCAGTTAAGGCTTCCCAACGTCAAGAAACCGTCGTACTAAAGTGCCCTTATATTAACCTACCAGAAGACCCAAAAACAGAAGACGGGACAGTATGTCAACCCTTCGCGAGCCGCTATCGATTTTCTAGTAACGACGGTTTTTGGCCTTAGATAGCGCATACGTCAAAATGCGACGTTCTATTAGGAGAAGTCCAGAGTCCCTTCCTCATTCCTAAGTTTCACGTTTTCTCCAAAAGCTCTACTCTGATAGTGATCTACAACATTCCACCACACGTCAACGGTACAAAGTTACACACTCACAGGATCCCCCACCCCCAGGACTCCCCCCAAGTCACAGGACCCCCCATTCACAGGATTCCCCATCCCCAGGACCCCACATCCCCAGGACTTCCCCAACTCACAGGACCCCCCACTCACTGGACCCCCATTCACAGGAGCCTCCACTCATGGGACTCCCCACTCACAAGATCCCGCCCATGAAACCAAAGCAGCTTCTTTCCTAGTTCGGGGTGAACGGCCACCTCATTCACATGACCAGATTGTTCACAAACTTTCAATTTAGCGGCGCCATCCTTCAAACTGTTCAAATCAAAGGTCTGTGTTTGTTTTATAGAAATTTTAGGACGTTTGTGTGTGTGTGTTTGATGACGATATTAATGGTTACATGTTCCTTACCTTGGCGGCCAGGGGGCCAGATTCACGATAGCACGTACGCAAGCACTTACGAACCTGTACATCTTTTCTCAATCTTTGGCGGCTTTGTTTCCAATTATTAAACAGCTAATGAGCTCCGAAGCACCAGGAGGCTTTTTATAACAATAACAACAGTTGAATGGGAAGTTTTCATGCGTGTAAACTGTTTAATAAATGTAAACAAAGCCGTCAAAGATTGAGGAAAGATGTACACGTTCGTAAGTGCTTGCGTAACTGCTTTCGTGAATCTGGTCCCAGGCCTTGTACAGGAGGATCTAGCTGCCTCTTGTATGAGCAAAGCGTTTTCACCCTTGTACAGGTTCCCGAGCCTACTGGGGCTCTATTATATCTACATTTGAAGCTATATTAGGAGTCAGCCTCCACCACATCACTTCCTAATGCATTCCATTTGTTAACTCTGACACTGAAACAAATTTCTAATGTCACCGTGATTCATTTCCATACTCATTTTCCGCCTGTGTCCCCTCGTGTGAGTCTCGCCCGTCTTTCTCCACCCTATCAATTCCTCTTAGAATTTTGTATGTGATGATCATGGCTTCCCTATCTCTTCTGTCTTCCAGCGACGTGAGGTTCATGCGTGTATACTTGTCGGGTTGATGATATGTCCTTAAGCGACTGTTCACAATTTTTAGACACTCACATATGCTATTCAATACTGTGTGTTGAAGTGGTCTCGGCAGCTTATTTAATAACGTGTGTTGCTGTGGCATTGAAGCTTGAAAGTGGGCAGGATACGTTTTATCCAGTCACCCCTCCATCACTGTCATGTCAACGCCTTGCAAAATCTTGAAATTGATATTTGTAGGTCATCAGTAAATGTTATATATATATTTGGCATTTTATGCGTTTTTCATTTAATGTATCTTTAGAGTCCATCCAGAAGAGGATCACACCATTGAATATAAATATCTAAGATCGTTATTACTTATTCAGAGGCGTTAGTACCGTACTACTTATATATAGGTCCTTTGTCAAATTAAATGTGTTCATAATTGTTGACATTTGTAATCATTAATTCACTTTGTGTATGACCTCAAGCACGGTGTTTGAGCCACACCTCCGCACTGTGTTGCACGCTGTATCTTCCACACTGTGTACATGTAGATATCTGTCATTTATAACACACTTGGCAAATATCAAACTGAAAATAAATTTTGGATTTTTTTTTTCCAAAACAGTAACTTAAGGGTCCTCTGGTAGGTTAGGAAGGCAGGAAATTCTCCTAAAGTTTCAAAACGTCATGAAAACCGTTCATTGAAAGTTTCCTCTCTTAACCTTACCGAGTAAGCCAGAGGACTCAAACAGAAAACGGAACGGTACATCACATTCGTGAGCCGATTTCATTTCAAATTACATCCATTTTTGGCCATAGCGCGCATACGAGCGAAAAGCAACGTTATTTTTTTAAGAGGACGGAGTGAAATGTCTCTGTGGTACAGCGTCACGGTCCAGGCCGTTCTCTGCTAAGTCAGTACTATGATTGTTCAGCACTTCGAACGGACTTGAGAGAATACCAAGAGTTGGGATATGAGGATGGAGAGAGATAACAGATGTCCAATCTAAGGGGGGTAGAAATAGCCTAAGCTACTCTATCCCTTTGAGATATATTTTTTTCTTGTCTCAATAAACATACTTGAACTTGAATATCCAACCACTTGGACAGGCAGGGATCGAACGCCTATCCTACACGAAGCGAGGCCATCTCTCAACCGACCAGTGTAAGTGGATTTAGAAACTTTATTCATAGCAACTTTTTCAAATTGTCACAATAATAGACGGACTAAACAATGAATTCAATAGAACAAGGGGACACGGATGGAAGCTGAAGACTCATGAGCCATAGAGATGTTACAAACTTTTTTTATAACGTAAGTGTAGTGGGAAAAGGGAATGACCTCAAGGAGCAGGTTGTAGAAGCAAGCTCCATTTAGAATTTTAAGAGTAGATATGATAGGGTATTAGGACAGGAATCAAGGTCATCATTAGACAACCGGGGGGTTAGAAAAGCGGGTCCAGGAGCTAGTGCTCGATCTTGCAGGCACAAGTGAGTACACACACACACACCACACATATACTGTTGGACCTATACTGTTTCTGATATATGTAAATGATCTCCCAGAGGGTATAGAATCGTTCCTCTCATTGTTTGCAAGATTAAATTATGAGGAGGATTAAAACAGAGGAAGATAGTAGGAGGCTACAAGATGACCTAGACAGACTGAGTGAATGGTCCAACAAATGGCTTCTAAAGTTCAATCCGAGTAAATGCAAGGTAATGAAACTAGGCGGTGGAAACAGGAAGCCAGACACAGGATACAGAATAGGAGATGAAGTACTTCATGAAACTGACAGAGAGAAAGATCTAGGAGTTGATATCACACCAAACCTGTCTCCTGAAGCCCACTTAAAAATAAATACAGAGCGGCATATGCGAGGCTGGCTAACATCAGTACAGTCTTCAGGAACCTGTGTAAGGAATCATTCAGAACCTTGTATACCACATATGTTAGACCTATCTTGGAGTATGCAGCCCCAGCATGGAGCCCATACCTTGTCAAGCACAAGACGAAGCTGGAAAAGGTCCAAAGGTATGCCACTAGACTAGTCCCAGAACTAAGAGGCATGAGTTACGAGGAAAGGCTGGGTGAGTGCACCTCACGACACTGGAAGACAGAAGAGTAAGGGGGAGACATGATCACTACCTACAAAATTTTCAGAGGAATTGACAGGGTAGATAAGGATAAACCTTTTAACACGGGTGGTACAAGAGGACACAGGTGGAAACTGAGTACCCAAATGAGCCACAAGGACGTTAGAAAGAACTTTTTCAGTGTCAGAGTAGTTAACAGATGGAATGCATTAGGCAGAGATGTGGTGGAGGCTGACTCCATACACAGTTTCAAGTGTAGATATGATAGAGCCCAGTAGGCTCAGGAACCTGTACACTGCTTGATTGACAGTTGAGAGGCGGGACCATAGAGCCAGAGCTCAACTCCCGCAAGCACAACTAGGTGAGTACACACACCATCATCACTCATCTTCATTAGAGCATCTTTAAATTATTAACCTTTCTAAATTATAATTCTTTACATTTGGTTTTAACCATGAAATACAACTGCTAATAATAATAATAATATTGATATTTCATTAAAATATAACACTTTTTTATAACTAGCACAGGTAAGTGAAAGTCAAGTGCCTTGACCTTGTTCATATGTGGTGTTTACACTCTGACAGGAAGTTACACTCTGACAGGTGTAGCCACAGGATGAGAGCCACGCCCACGGTGTTCTCTAACTACACTTAGGTAACTACACACACATCTAGACATCAGTTACAAGTAAACAATAACTTCCTGTGAGAGTGTAAACACGAGAGAGTCAGACAAGGTCAAGTGTCTCAGCGCTCAAGTGCTTCACATACCTGTGTTAGTTACTGGAGCCGGTGGCTGAGCGGACAGAACACTGGACGCGTGATCCTGTGGTCCCGAGCGCCGGCGAGAAACAATGGGCAGAGTTTCTTTCACCCTCATGCTCCTGTTACCTATCAGTAAATAGGTACCGGGGAGTTAGTCAGCTGTCACGGGCAGCTTCCTGGGGGTGGAGACCTGGTCGTGGACCGGGCCGCGGGGACACTAAGCTCCGAAATCATCTCAAGATAACCTCAAGATAGTTATGTGAAGCGCCGCCCACTCAGAGTGGGTGGTGTGTCGTAGGTCCCGGATGGTGTGGGTGGTGTGTCGCAGGTTCTGGATGGTGTGGGTGGTGTGTCGCAGGTTCTGGATGGTGTGGGTGGTGTGTCGCAGGTTCTGGATGGTGTGGGTGTAGTGTGGGTGGTGTCGTAGGTCCTGGATGGTGTGTCGTAGCTCCTGGATGGTGTGGGTGGTGTGTCGTAGGTCCTGGATGGTGTGGGTGTAGTGTGGGTGGTGTCATAGGTCCTGGATGGTGTGGATGTAGTGTGGGTGGTGTGTCGTAGCTCCTGGATGGTGTGGGTGGTGTGTCATAGGTCCTGGATGGTGTGGGTGGTGTGTCATAGCTCCTGGATGGTGTGGGTGGTGTGTCATAGCTCCTGGATGGTGTGGGTGGTGTGTCATAGCTCCTGGTTGGTGTGTCATAGCTCCTGGATGGTGTGGGTGTAGTGTGGGTGGTGTGTCGTAGCTCCTGGATGGTGTGGGTGGTGTGTCGCAGGTTCTGGATGGTGTGGGTGTAGTGTGGGTGGTATTTAAGTAATTCCAGTATATATTAGGTGTTTTATCAGTGCGCTTCAGTACGACGAATTATATTTATTGAATATGCATTTTCGTTTTTTTTACAGGAAGGAATGGCAGTGTTAGGTATTCATAACGTGTCCGGACCAACGCTTGGCATACATGCATTGGTGTTTTTGTTCTGACGTTGCTATTTTTATTTATTTTTAATTTTTTAGTTGTTCATTCTGTCGTTAATATTAATTTTGATTCCAATCCTCATTGATACAAGATTAATAGAACAGGAATCAAAATCCACTTAAATGAGAGACTAAAGAAATCCAATACATCCTTTAGGAAACTGAAGAGATTCGGTAACCTTGGCACGAATATAGAGCTTCACTTACTGAAGGATCAAGTTCAGTCACATCTTGAATACCTTTCAGCTCCACTACGCACCTTAAGAGAATACCAATACGCAAAAAAAGACGTAAGCAGTGCGTAACAGAACCCAGACTTACACAAATACCGTCCAACGCATGACATGGCAAGCCAGGAATGCCAATGAAGCCCAGAACACACAACCACTAAACATGAGGCTACAGCACCAAGCCACTGCACGCTGTGGGAACACGATCGGGACATTAGTAGCCTCAATGCTAGAAAACCTCCTCTAAAGATGAGATGCTGCCCAACTCTCACGGCTAGTGGCCCAAGAGCTGGAGTATTCTCGAGGGGAAAACCAAACCTTTTACAAGACATAATTATAAGATATATTGTGGATCCAAAAATCACCACGAGAGAACCAACAGAATAGTAAAATATTTACACGGGACTCTGAGTGAGTTGTTTACATACTGGCAACACAACATCCATCTCTATATATATATATACAGACAGCCAGACAGACCGGCTGCTATCATACAACATCGTATCATCAAGCCAAACAGCCCGCCTGCTATCATAACATCGTGCCATCAAAACAAACAGCCCGCCTGCTATCATAAATAACAAATTTCACATTCCTTCCATTTTTCCTGCTTTATCTGTGCGTCCGCATAAACTTTACTTAAAAAAAAACACAACACTCCTCCCCAAATACCCCAGAGTCACGCCCCCAGCCCCCCAGGGGAAGTAATTCATGGTCAGGGGCACCTGGTGGGTTTTTCCGAGCCCCGGGCTGCGGCTGACAGCCTACTGACGCCACCACTTCCAAGAATGAATTTAATTTGGGAACCTTTGGAGGAGTGGCGTTTTCCAAGGGTGATAGTTTATTTAACAACAACTACAACAATACTATTACTGGTAGTACTGCTACAATTACTACTACTACTAATAATAATATATGGATATAATATTTAATCATTATTATTGATATTTGAAATCATGATGATTGTAGTCGTGAGGATATGGTGATGAGTGTGGTGTTGAGGGGTGTGGTAATGAGTGTGATGGTGAGGATTGTGGTGGTAGTAACTTTAGTGGAAAGGTTGTGGTGATGATTGTGGTGGTAATAAATCCGGTGGTGAGGGTGTTGTCATGAGTGTGGTGATGAGTTGGCAGCCTTCTGGCTTTTATATTATATTATTAGTTTAATCTTCTGCTTGGTTTCAGAATGCGTCACACTTCTATGAGTAAGGTTCATCAGGACTCTCTCTCTCTTCCGCTTTGTGTATGTGGAATTGAAATCATTCCAGCTCTGCCTTTGACAATGTTAACTAGAGTTAACGAAACGCATCTCTTAGCCACAAGTGGGCAGACCTCACATTTGAGGACTTCCAGAAAGCCTTCAATGCAGTGTCCCACGTGAGGTTAGCGTACAAGATGAAGCAGGGAGGAATAATAAGTAAGGTGTGGGCCTCGTAGCCTGGTGGATAGCGCGCAGTACTCGTAATTCTGTGGCGCGGGTTCGATTCCCGCACGAGGCAGAAACAAATGGGCAAAGTTTCTTTCACCCTGAATGCCCCTGTTACTTAGCAGTAAATAGGTACCTGGGTGTTAGTCAGCTGTCACGGGCTGCTTCCTGGGGGTGGAGGCCTGGTCGAGGACCGGGCCGCGGGGACACTAAAGCCCCGAAATCATCTCAAGATAACCTCAAGAAGGTGCTCTTAAGGATAAGAGAATACATAAAGTCATAATAACTTAGCTGAAACGAATATTCTAAAGCGACGCAACCAAACCTAACTTAACACAACTTATATTTTCTTTAATTTCACATTAGTAAGAATGTGAATTAGTAATTTCATTAGTAATTTCAATTAGTAATTTCAGTCCTTCTTGGACCTTTTCCAAGAGAGTACATTAGCTACAGTCAACAGATTTTCACTTCGAGCAGAGAGAGACTTCAGAGTGACAAGATTTTACAAATGAAAGATAGCTTTATAGAGTATTTTGTATTTTATTAGTGAAATACCTCACAGACGGGATTGACTCCTCTTTCTCTTCGCGTTTGCTGACAATACACAAATTATATTGAGATTAATTTCCGTGAAAGACTGCTAGAAACTAGTGGCTACTAGAATTTAACTGATGTAAGTGCAAAGCAATATGAAGTTTGGTTCTCTTACCACCAAAAATCATTAGCTGAAAATGAAAGCTTAGTCCAAGTTATTGCATACCTCACGACGGAACAATTGTGCAACATGTACCACCAGGGAGGGAGCACTTAGGGAGCCGGTCGGCCGAGCGGACAGCACGCTGGACTTGTGATCCTGTGGTCCCGGGTTCGGTCCCAGGCGCCGGCGAGAAACAATGGGCAGAGTTTCTTTCACCCTATGCCCCCTGTTACCTAGCAGTAAAATAGGTACCTGGGTGTTAGTCAGCTGTCACGGGCTGCTTCCTGGGGGGTGGAGGCCTGGTCGAGGACCGGGCCGCGGGGACACTAAAGCCCCGAAATCATCTCAAGATAACCTCTAGATAACCAGCGCGGAGTCCAAATCTTGTTTACAACCAAACAAAACTGAAGAAAATCCTAAGGAACCCAATCAGATTAGTCCCAGAATTGAGAGGCGTGAATTACGAGGCACTCTTTAGGTTATCTTGAGGTTATCTTGAGATGATTTCGGGGCTTTTAGTGTCCCCGCGGCCCGGTCCTCGACCAGGCCTCCACCCCCAGGAAGCAGCCCGTGACAGCTGACTAACACCCAGGTACCTATTTACTGCTAGGTAACAGGGGCATTTAGGGTGAAAGAAACTCTGCCCATTTGTTTCTGCCTCGTGCGGGAATCGAACCCGCGCCACAGAATTACGAGTCCTGCGCGCTATCCACCAGGCTACGAGGCCCCTTGTGCACTGTGTGCATGAAGAACACACACTAGTCCTACGGTAACTACAGGTAACAAGCACGTGCCTGAAGGATTGACTAGGACCACAGCACCCACCAGACCAGAGGTCACCTCAGGGCAGCACCAAGTGAGCACCCTCCTGGTACCGGCACTGCCTCGTGGGCGCTGACGAGGACCTCAGTAAACACTCCACTAGGAGGTACATTGTGAAGTTGGCCCTCACAGGAAGTCAATACTCAATGGTCCACAGCTGTGAGGCATCCTGGTGGGCGCCCCCAGCATCAGTACCCAGTGACTGGTGGGCGCCCCCAGCATCAGTACCCAGTGACTGGTGGGCGCCCCCAGCATCAGTACCCAGTGACTGGTGGGCGCCCCCAGCATCAGTACCCAGTGACTGGTGGGCGCCCCCAGCATCAGTACCCAGTGACTGGTGGGCGCCCCCAGCATCAGTACCCAGTGACTGGTGGGCGCCCCCAGCATCAGTACCCAGTGACTGGTGGGCGCCCCCAGCATCAGTACCCAGTGACTGGTGGGCGCCCCCAGCATCAGTACCCAGTGACTGGTGGGAGCCCCCAGCATCAGTACCCAGTGACTGGTGGGAGCCCCCAGCATCAGTACCCAGTGACTGGTGGGAGCCCCCAGCATCAGTACCCAGTGACTGGTGGGAGCCCCCAGCATCAGTACCCAGTGACTGGTGGGAGCCCCCAGCATCAGTACCCAGTGACTGGTGGGCGCCCCCAGCATCAGTACCCCAGGGGTGAGGGCCAATACCCATTGGCCCTCTACATGGACCAACATGTTTCAAAGGTGACCGGAGCAATATATTGGATGTTTGATCGAGTTCCTGAAGATGGCGGAGTGTGTAGCATGGTGTTAGAGAGCCGTCGAGAGCGCTAAAACTGGGCTTGGTGTGTAATGCCTTGCCAATGTCCTGTCTTCTATTGTCGCTGTACCTGTCAGTTACTTGCGTGTCAGGGTATCTGTAGTAATGATCTGGTTGTGTGAGGAAATGTATATGTTTATCTCTCACAATGTTTGGTAATATGTTTATTGTTTGTGATGTGTTTATATGTACGTATTAACACGATGTACTGAACGGGGTGAGAATAGCTTGAGCTACCTCATTCCTTTGTGTGTATTTTACCTCAATAAACTTATTTCAATTTCAATTTCAATCTGGTTGTGTGTGACTATATACGTTCCCTAACAGGCCCGTGCTGTTTGTGCATTGAGAGTCTTGAGTCTTTATGCAGATTACCTGTTACCTAGGCTAGGGCCCTAGTCCTATAGGGAATTGGCAGAAGGTTATCTTGAGATGATTTCGGGGCTTTTAGTGTCCCCGCGGCCCGGTCCTCGACCAGGCTTCCACCCCAGGAAGCAGCCCGTGACAGCTGACTAACACCCAGGTACCTATTTTACTGCTAGGTAATAGGGGCATAGGGTGAAAGAAACTCTGCTCATTGTTTCTCGCCGGCGCCCGGGATCGAACCCGGGACCACAGGATCACAAGCCCAGTGTGCTGTCCGCTCGAGAAAAGAACAAAAATATAATACATTTCCAGACATATTGATTAGTATAATCAATACTTTGATGATGTGATTAAATAATATGATCCTCAGAGTACCAGTCTCCACTTGTGCTCAAACTCAGCGTTTTTCTATCTGTAAAACATTCTTATAAAATCACTAAACATTGTTGTAATTTAGTTTTCCTTTTATTCACAATCTTTAAGTGATAAACGTGGAAGAAGGTGAATGAAAATACATTTTGTAATCATAATTTACTCTTGAGCTTCTTCTCCCCAGCAACACTGTTTCCAATCCTCATGTTTTAAATCAAAACACATTTTATACTTTGATGTTTTAGTGGGCGTGTTAGTGAGGGTGATGCGTAGTGTCCGTAGGGTGGTGTGTGGTGTCCGTAGGGTGATGTGTAGTGTCCGTAGGGTGGTGTGTAGTGTCCGTAGGGTGATGTGTAGTGTCCGTAGGGTGGTGTGTGGTGTCCGTAACTCTCCACATTCACACATGTGTACGTGTAGAGTTATCATATCGTAGACCATCATGACGTCTCTTCTTGATGTCATTCATCAAAAAGGGACGTCATCCAGGCAGTAATCATCTACTATAGGCAAGAAATATATGATGGACACACATTCAAGCAAAGGAAATAAAGGTGCCGAAAATAATATTAGAAAGTTGTCAGAGTGGTAGACGGTTGGAACAAGTTAGGTGAGCAGGTGGGGGTAGCCAAAATCGTCAGAAGTTTCAAAGCGTTATACGACAAAGAGTACTGGGAAGACGGGACACTACGAGCGCTCTCATCATGTAGCTACACTTAGGTAATTACACACACAATACAATACAATCTCCCCGCAAACACAACTAGGTATGTACACACACACACACACGGGTCCTCGCAGCCGAGTTGACAGAGCTCTGGTTTCGTAGTCCTAAGGGCCTGGGTTTGATTCCCGGTTGAGGAAGAAACAAATGGGCAGAATTTCTTCCATCTGATGCGCCTGCTCACTTAGCAGTAAATAGATAAATTGGAGTTAGACAGCTGCTACGGGCTGCTTTGTGTGTGTGTGTGTGTATGTGTGCGCGCATGTGAGGAAATATATACAGTGAGTAGAACAGAGGGAAAAAATAGATCAGTTAGAAAGGCGGGATCCAAGAGCTAATACCTCGATTCAGCAGGCACCACACACACACACACACACACACACACACACACACACACACACACACACACACACACACACACACACACACACACACACACACACACACACACACACACACACACACACACACACACACACACACACACACACAGGATTAAGCCACTTACATCACCAATATTACCATGCAAGACCACACTGTTCGCCGGAGAAGCGCTCTAGGAATGTGACCATAGTCGTCCCTGTCCCTGTGGTGCTGGTGTCCCTCAACCCCCAGTGTGACCATGTTGCTGCTGCTGGAAAATGTATACGCAGTTTCCCTAACAACTGTTAGGGAAGCATTTGACTCTATAATTACATATAATGCGTATCTAATAGATCCAGGTGAGTCTGGCTTCCACTTACTCCCCGCTTCCCACATCTCTCCCTCTCTTTCTTCCGTTTTCTTTCGTCTGATAAGGACAAACTCAAACATCTACTTGGCTGGCATATTTACAGTTCTCCAGCCTTCCAGGGACGGAACAGTGGCATAAGGCATTGAGCAAATACGGCTTACTCCTAGTAGAATGAGATAACGGGTGCCAAGCAGGCACTACCATGACGGTGTGTCCCTAACATACTGTGGTGTTGGCACTGTGGCCGGTGTGAAGTCACCCCTACGGCTTCCCTTGTATCTCTTCTGGACGCCATCATTTCTTATCTTACATTTATCGTCCTCTTTGTTTTTTGCCGATTTGTATTAATTTATCATGATTATCATTCTTCTGAAATCCCGAATGCTATAACAATGACTTATTTTCCGACTTAATTCATTACAACTGTACAGAATCTCAATAAATATGGCTTTAAACAAGTAAAACAAGTCAAAGAAGCATTGCTTATTTACAAATTAACACCAAGAGAGAACTTTACCTCAAAGCCTTACCTCCCTCAGAGTAGCATTGCCGCCGAGGGTGCAGGAGAAGGCAGGACTTTTGCTCATTACCATTGTGAACTGATTATCCTTATTTCCTCTCTGCGGCAGGACAGTGAACTCAGGTACCCAAGACTAAGAGATCAAGAGCATCATTCCTGTACTGTCAACTAAGATCATTTCTTGTCACTCTTGAATAATTCTCCCCTGGACGAGAGGAACACGTACTGTGGCTAAACGAGACGTGAATGAGATGCTTCAGTCATAGCCCTGATTCTCCACCGGAAAGGTCTCGTTCCTGTAAGACTGTCTGATGATGGCTTCCTGGTAGGATGGGAGGGAGGCGTCGTCGTCCTCGGGTCTGACTACCCTGGAGCCCTCCACCAGGCTGGGAAGGCTCAGGAAATCTGTTTTGAGGAGTCCCCCCTCCAAGTTGTTGACCAGCGCTTGGTCGCGCGGCTTGGCTGGGCTCAGGTGGTAGTAGAGGTCGTACGGAGGAGGTCTCACCAAGGCAGCCTCATATGACGGAGGCTTTTCGTTGGCAGACTCGTGGGTGGCGTCCTGCCGGGCCTGCCGCTGGTCCCTGCTCTCAGCAGCGACTCTCTCCTCCTGCAGCAGGGGAGGAGGCAAGATAAAGTGTTACACTCCCTTAAAAACTGAATGACTTACACTTTCAGATATATCACTTTTTCTCGGAGAGCTTTCACGGCATAAATTAGTTCTCAGCGTAATAAGAAGTTCCTGTCCAAGGCTTCCTGTCCCCGACAACGATAATTAACGAAGAAAGAGGTCGCCATTAAATATAATAACAATAACATGGAACTTCAAAAATTTCCCGTTTTTTTTAAAAGCTTAAGAACGTAAGATTTGAAACGTTGAAAGTGAAAGGCAATAAAAACATATTTTATTAAGCGTTAGGGAGGGTTTAGAGAGTAGAAATAACCTAAGTTACTCTATCCTTTCGAGATGTACTTTATGATCTCAATAAACGTACTTGAACTTGAGTACGAGAACAGGAATGGAACAAGGACACTCACCACGCTGTTACTCTCCAGGTGGCCTTCGGGAACTTGGAGGGAAGAGCACTCAAGGGCCCCGTGAGTCCTCACCAGGCGGATCATTGCGTGCACACCAACTGTGAAGAGAAACGCAGAGAACCCGGGCCCGACGCCCCACCAGTGGAAGCAGTAGTAGATGATGACGAACCCGACGACCCACGGACAGAACTCGCAGATCTTAACCACACCCAGCCACAGGTGTTCCAGCAACCCCTGCTGCTGTTTGCGGCAGTTGTTGCATATGTTGCACTCTCTCGCCGGCACCACCACTGGAGGGGAAATGTATATCACTAAATGAGGATTTCCATTACTGTCTATCGTCTGGGTTGCTGCTTGAGTGTCAGTTGATGGCGGGGCAACTGGGGATACTGAAGACTCTGTGTTTTGATCCAGTCTGCCGACGTCTCTGCTGACTGGAGAGCCGTCCAGAGACGTCGTGCTGTTCGACGCACATGTACAGATGGAATCAGAGTCGCTTGAAGTGTCGCCGTTGTCGTCGTTGCCGTTGTGGTCGTGGCGAAGGCTCGGGGCCTCTGGAGGGATGGTACCACTCTTGGGAGGCACGCAAGACGACGTCATGGTTCAGAGTGGAAGGTTTGCTGCCAGATATGGCAGAGGCGACTGTAGTTGGTGCTGTGACAGACTACCCAAGGCTGACGCAGTGACAACTGAGAAGATGCTTAAACACGTAAGACAACCTAAAGACAAAGAGATAAAGAAGATATTATGTCTCTCGTTTTCCAATTATTTAGTTTTCAGTGTTTATTACAAATAAAACTGATCAGCCTTAAATATTACAGTCTTACTTACATAACATTTATGTACTTTTGTAGTTTGTGGTCAAAAATATTTTATAAACAGTCACCAATTAAAAATACAATATTAATAAATATATTTTATAGTCATACTAAAACTCATCAAAACCCGAGACTATTAACTCAAATTACTTCTTGTTATACATTCTAGTCATTTGTTCAGGGTGAAAAAATCACCGAATTACTTGAGCCAGGGGTTAATTACGTCTTTGCAGAACGACTTACGAAACTGTTATATCTTTCTTTAATTAGGTGAGAAAGAGGAAGACTGAGATAAATGTGAAAAACACATGAGAACTGGAGATGACTGAGTGTAAAGACTGAACCAGAGCAACAACAACAACACCTGCAGCATCACCACGAGATGACCATCTGCCGCCCCGCCGCAGCATCCACTTAGGATAAAGTACCCGCACTATTACACAACACACACACACAAACACACACACACACATGAGCCATAGAGTAACAGGCAGGTGCGAGAAATCAGACTGGCGAACAGTACCGAGTGGAGTACCTCAAGGATCAGTGCTGTATGTCGATCTTCGCGAACACCACAACACTGACACTACAACAACAACACTGACACCACAACAACAACACTGACACCACAACAACAACACTGACACTACAACAACAACACTGACACCACAACAACAACACTGACACCACAACAACAACACTGACAACACAACAACAACACTGACACCATAACAACAACACTGACACTTCAACAACAACACTGACACCACAACAACAACACTGACAACACAACAACACTGACACCACAACAACAACACTAACAACACAACCACACTGACACCAAAGAAAAACACTTGTTTCCAACTAAGAACAAACACGCAAACAAAAGCACCTTTAGCCAACAAAAACACAATCATTGAACAAATAATAACATTTGAAATAAAAAGCTACATACATAAAAAATACACTGATACAACTCATCACAAAATACACCCAACACTCAAGCAACACCGTGAACACACAACAAACAACACAAACCACAACAACATGAACACATACTGTACACTGACCCATTACAAACACATTTCGCGCAAAAAATATGATCAATGACTCACAAAACATGACAAATAAACACCAAATAACAGCATTAACATTCAAAAGACAACACTGACACAGAACAACACTAACACTGACACAACACAAAAAATACTGATATAAAGCAAAAAACACAACCACAGCAACACATGTTTTTCCTTGTGTATCCCACACAAGTGAGGAGGAGGAAGAAGCAACACTGCCATACAACAGTCCAAGCAGGTACACACCCACACGGCAGCAACACAAAACACGCTATCAATCACCAAGCTTGCTGATAACTAAACAAAATAAAATATAAATATATCAAACCAAGCCAAACCCCAAACATTATTTGTATTGTTTAGTATTGTATACTTTGTTGATATATACACATTAGCACACTTTGCTTTGGCATGCGTAAATCTGCGTTTCAACTCTCTCACAAATTCAACTCTATGCTGTGTTCCATAGACAGGACTCAGGAAGGAGAGGTACCACACTTGCGTCGAAGACTCATCCACCAATACACACATACGCACGCCCACACACACGCACACAAACAGCGTATCGGGCACGTCCAAGTTTCAGCCATTTGCGTATTGCTTCTTTGATTTCAAAAGCCTGACACCTGAGTTTCTCACCACCGGTGTCTCTGTTACAACAATCTGATGGTGATTTGAAGAACTGATTCGCATTTTGGCCTCAATTACATGTTAATAAGTGACGGAATAAGATCTTGATTACATCAACGGGTGCATGGGGTGAGTATCCTCCCCTCCACTGAGTACTGGTAATTGATCACACACTAAACGATGGGTAACAAGGCTCTCTGCTAACACCGTCGCACGTCTGGCAGCCTAGCGCACAAGTTTTTTTTTTATCGTCAGTGTTTTTAAAGACACTCCTGGTCACCATCACGTCGACAGCGTCATATACCATCACCATCACATTCATAACAGCACTATTATGGTCATCATCACATGGCCTCCCTGTACACACTCTTCACCACTACACGGCCACCATCCTCACCGCCAGGCTGGTGTCTAGCAGAGGGAGTATTGTCACATTCGGGCAGCTACAGAACGCACACAGAGCCGCTCAACAAGTATCGTCCGGTAGCCGCACTGGCTTGTATAGGCTGTCTGGTGCGAGGCTCCTGGTAGAGGCACCGGTTCCTCTCGTCTTGTGAGGGGCTGAGAGCTGCGTTCACCTCACATATACCGCTCCTCCCTCCCGTCATCTCTCATGCCTAAATGCTCCTTAGGCGTTCATTCTGACCGCGCTTGTCAGGCACAAGACTCCTTTTTGTTCAACTTTACCTGACGAGATGGAAAAGCTACGTCAGGGGTAGAACATTTATGAAATACTGTGGTTTTTTAGGCATGAATCGAGTGTTATTGATAAGCAAAGGCAGATATCATTTGGGCGCTAGGCTTCTTCTGATTGGTTAACAAAAGGGAGGACGCGTGACGTCAGAGGCGAGTGGTTGGGAGTACTGTCGAGTGCTTCATTGAGTACGTAGAGGGAATGTGGGGTGGAGGCCTCGATCCCTCGCTCCAATAACATACATGATACCTGTTTCACCCCCCTGCTGCTGATAGGAACTGGTCTGTGGACACTCACAAGCTGGAGGTACTCGGGGCAAAGCTTGAGTGCGTGTACTCATAACCTTCCATTGGAGTGGTGTAGTGGTCCACCCTTCAGGTTGTCCAATCTGATTTGTATCGGCAATTGTAATCTTTCACTAGACCTTCTCTACCTACTTCATTTCAGTTCTTCACTGTGCTGACTCTTAAACAAGTTCCTTCGAATACTCCTTTGGCTATTTTGTGCATTTACCTTCCATCTATGTGGTCTTGGTATTGTCCTTCTGAAATTGTACAATATCTGCGAGTTATGGCTCCCACTTTGTCAAATGTGTGTTTACCTCTACTCGTTGTGGCCACTACATAAGCATACAAAACAAAATTTGTGTGCCTTTGCGTTATGAGTTTCCCGGGTCAAACACTGTCTTCATATTCTGCTCCCTCCAAACTGTGTACATTCCCTCCACAGGCGATGTAGGTGCTGTCATTTATTTCGAGGATTTGTTGTACTCGTTTGCTTTTGTTTCCCTTAGAGCTGATTAACCCCGTTTTCTTTCTTATAATCGGTTATTTTCTTACTCATGAACGTGACGGAAGGAATTAAAACACATAATAAAGTGTTTTGCGAGAGAGATGAAGGGAGAGAGGGATGGGAAAAGGAGAGGGGTGGTGGAAGAGAGAAGGGAAGAGGGAGGGACGGAGAAAGGAAGGAAGCGCTGACAGAGAGCAAAACGATGATACTTGAGAGATCTAGTGATGGTGAAAGGGGGTGACTGAACCAATGAAGTTACAATTGCTTCATCATTTCGGCCACGTTGGCGTGTCTCGTGAGCCACCGTGGGCGACCAGGAGGCATATTAGTGAGGTAACAAGTATGAAAAAGTGCTTCAACATCACCCTAAACTGGATCCCATCCCATGTTGGAATCCCATTAAATGAAAAAACCGATGATATTGCTGAAATGGCAACTCGTCATCCAGTGATACATAAAACAATTCAACCCAGCCTAAAGTACATAAAAAACATCATCACCAAAAAACACTCACACCTCAACAAAGCCTATCTACACCAGAGAATAGCATAAGATTCGCCCTCTGCAATATGGTAATCAGGCCACCAAGTTACAAAGGTTAAATATCCTTGAACATGAATTCACAGGGAAATAACAGTTCCGTTATATAGACTACGTCTAGGTTACAGATGCAACTGCGAGATTGGTAAACCCCGACAGAGAGAATGCAACTTCTGCCAAATTGTCACAAAAAAGCCATTACTTCACTATCTCCTGGAATGTGAAGCAACCAACGACCTTAGAAGAGCTTTAAGAGTTCATGAATCCATCAACACTGCCACTCGCCTGGTCAAAAAGGTGTCCAGCAGCTGGAGACCCTCATAAATACTGTCAAGCAGTATCCTCCCGCGCGATAGCAGCATAACAATTAAATGCGACCTCAGCGTACTATACATTTACTAAAAACAAAACAAAAATCTTCCACTTACGGGCTATTCATGCCCGTGCCACCTCTTGGGTGGCTTACTCTTCATCACTCATCAGTCTATGAAAAAAGTTAGTTACACCCCAATATACAGGAGCACCGCTCCTGTGCCAGGTAAGTCCACTACGGGCTCACCATAGCCCGTGCTACTTGGAACTTGTTCCGAGTAGTTGAATCTATAACAACAACCCCAATATACCAGTTACATCCCCGCTCCTGTGCCAGGTAAGTCCACTACGGGATCACCATAGCCCGTGCTACTTGGAACTTTTGTTCCCAGTAGCTTAATCTTCAACAACAACAACAACGGTTCAGTAACAATATGTGTGGGTGTGTGAGAGAGAGAGAGAGAGAGAGAGAGAGAGGGGGGGGGAGAGACAGAGAGACAGAGAGACAGAGAGAGAGAGAGAGAGAGAGAGAGAGAGAGAGAGAGAGAGAGAGAGAGAGAGAGAGAGAGAGAGGGGGGGGGGTTGTTAATGAGAAGTGTGCGGGTGACAGGAATGTGTGTTGGGGGTGTGAGTGGCAATGAGTTTGTGTGTGTGGGTGTGAGGGACATGAGTGTTTGGGTGTGTGTGTGTGTGGGTGTGAGAGAGCGTGAGTGCGTGTGTGGGTGTGAGGGCTGCGAGTACGGTGTCAGATAAGCTAGATCAGAGTCACTTCAACAAAACTGACCTAACCTAACCACTTAAGCTATTTAGGAAGGTCAGCACAAGAGTCAGAAATACTGTATAATTACAAAGATTATTTGACAAACTTATTCAATTCATTCATTTAATATTCTATTGATCAATTCTTGATTTTGTCTTTATTTGTCGGATCCTAATCACTCACTAATTTCCAAACTACGGTATGAAGTTGTTTATTGTCTTGTTTAGCTTGTTTTAATGTATAGTCGGTTAAAGTGGACTTAGGTGTGAGATTTTACAAAGTTTGTTGGCTTTATAGATAGTGTACTACAATGGCCACTATTACGCAAAGCGTTTCGGGCAGAAATCTGACTTGGAGACAACACACTCACAAGTGATAGTGTATCTCCTTGATAATATTATTAGGGCGCTGCCCGTCCCTAAGTGGAACGAGTTATGTGGGGAGTAAAGAGGAAGGAGAGGCATAGGTGAAGGGAAGTATAGAAGTGGGAAATACAGTGAGAGGTATGAAAGCAGGCGGGGCTGTCCGCCTTGCTGACACGATGTGTGGGTGTTGGCAGCTAAGCTAAGCTGGCTCCCTCTTGTCAGGGAGCTGTGAGTGTGTGAGAGGTTCTTCACATGTGTGTTATAAGACATTAAGACACAGGCGCAGGCTGGGTAGGGTAGGGTAGGGGAAACTGCATTGTAAGGACCCTCTGTATTACAGCATCATCTTCCACCCCTCCTTGCTGGCGCTGGCCACGGCGGGGCCTCACCTGGTGGCTCTGACCAAGGCCACGAACACTAGCACTGTGCTAAGAATTAACCATGAGGCCGATAAATATCAGTTATGATAATGGAGTGCTCTCCTTCTCTCTCTCTCTCTCTCTGTCTCTCTAGGGCGCGCTAAGCACCCCTGATGGAGTGATACTGAAGCACCTGACGAGGTGATCTTATACAAACACTACCGTGATCCTGGTAGAATACGGGCTCACCATAGCCCGTGCTACATGGACACTTCGTTCTGAGTAGCTAAATCTAAAAACAACAACAATCCTGGTAGAATGAATCCTGGTGACCGCCGACCACATTCACTGTAAAACTGACTATTACTAGGCTGTATTTGTCACAATGGAGCTGTATTCCTCCACACACCTGCTCAGGGGGGTGGAGAGGTAATTACGTACATTGTAGTGGACTTCAGAGATGGATTATTATCCACCCTAATAATAATATATCTCACGTGAAAATTATAAAATCTTTGCGTAGCTGGTATAGGTAGCTCGTTCATGTATTATTAATGTTTTCCACGTCAGAGATTGTATTACATAAGCGCAGTCTGTCGTGGGGGTTTATAGTAGTGCGAATGGGGTCATGTGTGCGCTTAACGTCAACCACAGTCATTAGTGGTAGCTACAACCAGTTATCTTACAACCACAGTCATTAGTGGTAGCTACAACCAGTTATCCTCAACCACAGTCATTAGTGGTAGCTACAACCGGTTATCTTCAACCACAGTCATTAGTGGTAGCTACAACCAGTTATCTTACAACCACATTCATTAGTGGTAGCTACAATCAGTTATCTTACAACCAGTCATTAGTGGTAGCTACAACCAGTTATCTTATAACCACAGTCATTAGCGGTAGCTACAACCAGTTATCTTACAACCACATGACTTACGACGGTCTAATTACCAGGTCAGGTGGGCTGGTAACAGGTGTCTTATCTGATGGATACCTTTCTGCTGGGCCAAACACCTCTATATCCCATGTACATGTTCGACTGACGACAAATATGCTTCAAAGATGGTCAATAAAACTAATTAAAAGTAAAAAAAAACCTGCTCATAACAGTGCATTCATAAATGGCTATACATCAATAATTCGATTAATAAAAACATGTCGAATATTAATTTAAACTGGAACAAGTTATAATAGCATTAAAACATGTAATCTTAATGATTACATGTTGCACAATTTATTTATTTATTTATATACAAAAAGGTACATTGGGGGTTAACATAGAAATTAAGTTGAATTTACATTCTTGTAAAGCCACTAGCACGCATAGTGTTTCGGGCAAAATTAATTCCATAGCAACGATTACTGTGGGAAAGAAGCATTTAATCACTCAGATGACACTTAAATTACAACCTAGACTTGCATAGTGAACAGACCTATGACACCTAAGACTGACCATTACGACACAGACTAAAATCCTGTCAATAGACAGATTAACAGAAAGCAAATAATCCGAGAAAGATGAGTCGATGAGTTGGGAAGATGAGTGATGCAGCAATAT